TAAATATTACCATAATATACATAATTTTCCTCTATATGATAACTCCAACGTTAAGGATGATAATACTGGTGACAAGGCTTTCTTGAAACAATAAAGAAACTGGAAAAACAGGGTTTCATAAGGGGATAATCTTTGTAGACACAGACATATGAAATAATAACTCTTCTCTAAGATCTTAAGAATAACAGTAGTTACCATTTTCAAACAATTATAGAAAATATTTCAGAAACAGAAACTAGCAGACTTGTTTAACAAAGAAAAATTTTCTCTAGTTCCCTTATAAACAAAATATATTTTGAAGCCTAAAAAAGAGTTGTAAATAGTGGAAACTACAAATAAAAACTATTTCAAGTCTATCTACTTAGCACACCCAAAATAAACTATTTCAATTATCTAAGATATAACAATTCCCACATTTGCCTCATCAATTTTATATGAGCCCATAACACAAAACTGAATAAAAAAATCAAGGTGAATTCTCCTAAATGAGATCTGTTAAGTGACTATAATATAGGAGGTTAATACAGATAAAAAAATTTTTTTTGAGAAAACTGTTACTTTAAGGAAAAAAATTGAAGACTCTTTAAAATGAAACAGGTAACAAAACAAATGATGACAACTAACCCTAAAAATATCTTTACATCTCCCTTGTGGAAAGAAAGAGTTTTGAAAAGTGCCTGCCTCAGCTCAAGCCAGGAAAGTAAAATATGTCTGTCCTAAGAATTCATAACTATAAGCCAGTACTTAAAGGTTTAAAATTTACACTCCGAAAGTAATGGAAAACATACACACCAAACTTTTATTTAAAATATTCTCGGCCGGGCACGGTGGCTCACACCTGTAATCCCAGCACTGTGGGAGGAGGCCGAGGCGGGTGGATCATGAGGTCAAGACTTCGAGACCATCCTGGTCAACACAGTGAAACCCCATCTCTACTAAAAATATAAAAAATTAGCCAAGCATGGTGGCGCACGCCTGTAATCCCAGCTACTTAGGAGGCTGAGGCAGGAGAATTGCCTGAACCCAGGAGGTGGAAGCTGTGGTGAGCCAAGATTGCGCCATTGCACTCCAGCCTGGGTAACAAGAGCGAAACTCCCATCTCAAAAAAAAAAAAAAAAAAATTCTCAAGTTGGTAGAGACCCTTCCAAAGTACCTGGTAAAAATGAACATAAATGATTTCCGGAAGAAACTCTTTAAAACTTGGCCTCAAAGAATTCGCAATGAGAAAAAGGTAAACACCCTTAAAGAAAAATTGGTTAAACACTTGCATACATATTTTCCAGAAAAGGAAATATAAATTACCAAAAATATATAACCAGATGCACAAAATCGTTAATACTGAGAGAAATGCAACATAAAATGTCAACATACTATTTTCTCTGCATCACATTTGAAAGCATTAAAACACTGGACAACAAGTTTGTGAAGCAACAGAAACATTATCCATTGCTGGTATGAGTGTGAACTGGTTTGGAAAACAACTGTAGTTATCTAGCGAAACTGAAGATGCAGATAGTCTCTAACTTAGCAAATCTATACCTTAATACATACACAAACACCTTGTTACCATGCTGCAGGAGACATTTATAAGAATATTTAAAACAAAATTGTGTAGAATAGAGTCCCAGTCTTGCATTTGATTCCCAGTCTCATTGCTTAGTAGAATAAATCCTGCACCAGTAACACTTGTAAATTTGTGAAAATGAATTTTACCTTTCCTTAAAAAAGAATTTTTTTAGTCCATCACACTTTTCTTTCCCTGACCTTTCGTTTTTGATAAATGAGAAAAATTAGCCAGTTATCAAAGAACTAATACTTACTTCAAAAGAAAAATAAACATAAAAAATAAGTTGCTGGTCCCTAACAGGGAAAAATTTTAATTACTGTGTGAAAAGAAACTGCTTATATACACATTGCAGATCAGATATTTGGAGTTAAAATGTTAGTCTACATAGATGGGTGATTGTTACTTTATTGCCATTAAAAGGTTTCAAATCGCATACATGCTTCTGTGTACACATAATGAAAAATGGGCAAATAATGAAGACTGATCTCTTCTTCAGTCTGGTCTGTTTAATCCTGCTGTCTGCTCTTCTCTAATGGTGCATCCCTAATTGTACACAGATCAGTGATGCCTAGGAGTATAAAGTTGTCATCCATCAATAAAAATCACAAAATTGGTTTAAAAAATAAAATAAGAGACGAGATCCAAGATGGCCGATCACTAACAGCTCGGGATTGTAGCTCCCAGTGAAAGCTCAGAGAACGAGACGACGCCACACTTTTAGACGAATTTTCGTCACTTACAGATCAGCCGATTCCCAGTGGAGGAGCCCCACGGGTCGCCAGCTCGACTCTCGTGGCCGCCACAGCGGTTTTGCCAGGCAGCAGCTCTTCATGCAGAGCAAACGGGACTGCTTCCCCTACTGACCGGAGATTGGAGCTCCGGGAAGTCAGAGCCGCTTGTTGCGGACTCAAGAGGGAAGCCAGACCAGAGATTCCCGGGCAGAAGAGCACCATTAGTCCTATTGCTGCTATTTAGGCGGCCACAGTGGGTTGCTCGGATCCCAGCACTGGGAATCAATAAATCGGACATCGACTCAGAAACCTAATTGGAAAGGCGGTTCATCTACAATGAAGGGAAAAACAGCCTAAGAAGGCCGAGTATACCCCAAATCAGAATCCATCAGCAACGGAACAAGCCCTGATGCAAAAGGACTCAGCAACGGAACAAGCCCTGATGGAAAAGGACTCATCAGCAACAGAACAAGTCCTGATGGAAAAGGACTGTGTTCCATTATCTGAAGTAGGCTTTAAAAGGTGGATGATAAGAAACTTCTGGGAGTTAAAGGAACTTGTTCCAACCCAATGTAAAGAAACTAAGAACTTTGAAAAAAGGTTCGATGAAATGATGAAAAGAATAGACAATATAGAGAGGAATACAAATGAACTTATGGAGTTGAAAAATACAACACGAGAACTTAGTGAAATATGTACAAGCTTAAATAGCCGAATGGATCAAGCAGAAGAAAGGATATCAGAGGTCGAAGACCAACTTAATGAAATAAAACGACAAGACAAGAATAGAGAAAAAAGGATAAAAAGGAATGAGCAAAGTCTCCAAGAAATATGGGACTATGTGAAAAGACCTAATATACGTTTGATTGGTGTACCTGAATGTGATGGAGAGAATGAATTCAAGCTGGAAAATACTTTTCAGGACATTATCCAGGAAAATTTTCCTAACTTAGCAAAGCAGGACACTATTCAACCCCAGGCAATACAGAGACCACCACAAAGATATTTCTCAAGAAGACCAACCCCAAGGCACATAATCGTTAGATTCACCAGGATCGAAACGAAGGAGAAAATATTAAGGGCAGCCAGAGGGAAAGATCAGGTTACCCATAAAGGGAAGCCTATCAGGCTTACAGCAGATCTCTCAGCGGAAACCCTACAAGCTAGAAGAAGAGTGGGGGCCAATATTCAATATACTTAAAGAACAGAACTTTCAGCCCAGAATTTCATATACTGCCAATTTAAGCTTTACAATTGAAGGAAAAATAAAATCTTTTAGGAACAAGCATGTACTCAGAGATTTTATTACTACCAGGCCTCCTTTACAAGAACTTCTAAAAGAAGCATTATATATAGAAAGGAACAACCAGTATGAGCCTTTCTAAAAATACACCAAAAAGTAAAGAGCATTAACATAAAGAAGTATTTACATCAGCAAAAGGATAAAATAGCCAGTTAATATCATATGCCAGTAACCCTAAATTTAAATCGACCAAATCCCCCAATCAAAAGATACAGACAAAATCTAACGGTATATCTAAAGATATACACAGACTCAAAATAAAGGGTTGGAAAAAAACTTACCAACCAAATGGAGAGCAAAAGTAAATAAATAAAAAGTAGGAGTTGCAATTCTCACATTTGATAAAATAGATTTCAAAGCAACAAAGATACAGTGGTAAAAGGATTAATGTAATAATAAGAGATCTTAATACCCAGATACATAAGACCCATAATGAGATTTAGATTCCATGAGACAGAAAATTGATAACGATATCCAGGACTTGAACTCAGATCCAGAACAATAAACTCAATAGAGCTCTCCATTTTAAACACACAAAATATACATTATCCACTTTAAACACACAAAATATTGATCGGCCATTATTGATACCTGTTTTAGGAATGAAGTAATATTTCTTTTTCCCTCTTTTTCTTTTTCCCTCTTTTTTCCTCTTTTTCCCTCTTTTTCTTTCTCTTTCAAAAAAAAATAATAATAAAATAAAAATAAAAAATACACCAAAGTTGTGTAGAACAGAAAAACATGAAAACAATCTAATTGCCCAACAACAAAGCAAAAGAAAAACCAGGTAATGATCTATTTTTTTCAATAGAAAACTATACATGAGTAAAGAAGTAAACTACTACTACATGAATCAGCATGTCTGAATCAAATCAACATAATTTTGGTCAAAATATCAAATTATCAGAGAAAAACATTTGATGCTATTCACGTGAAATTCAAAAACTGCAAAAATAAACCATGTATTATTTATAAATACATAAATTTGGAGTGTAAATATCTTCTATAAAGAAAAAGTAGTGAATGAGAAATATAAAGCTGAGAAAAGAAGTGGCCTCTGGACTAGACAGATAAAGATGAGATTGTTGAGGGACTTAAAGGAAACTTCTAGAGCTTTGGGAATATTCCATTTTTTAAGGTGGGTGGTGGATGTGCTGGTGTGTTCATTATTATTATGCCTTCAACAACATATAAACTACAAACACTCAGGCAAGCATGTGGTATATTTTCATAATATAGAAAGATAAATTTTTCTATATTACATATAATATACATGTCTTTTTCTTTAACTGCTGACTATATGTTTGCCCTGAGTATATGTTTGAATTCTGAGGCCATTATCTCTTACATTTTGGCCTCAGAATTATGTGATGCTTATGATAAATAAAAAATAAATTACCGTGTTTCTTATTGGAATCTTCTTGGGTTCTGGTGGCACATCCTGTGGAACAAATTTCACTGGTTCCTTAATCTGCCTCCTTGATCGTTTGGTTCCATCTGGTAAGGTTTCCATGGCCATATCTGCTTCCATGTCACTACTCCCTGCCTGGTCACATTCTGAGCACTGCCTACATAAAGGGGAAAAATTAAAATCATGTATTTATTATTATCTTCCAGCTTTAGCTATGTTTTTATAAATACAAAATCCAGGTATGTAAGAAGAATATATAAAAATATACACAGGTAATGTGATTACAGGGTACCTAATGAATAAACATTCAGAAATACTCCTCTAAGAATGACTACTGTGAATATAATATTTAAGGCAAATTACTGTATCCTTGTAAGTATAAGAACACATTTAACAATGCTATATAAGTGAACAAAGATGAGATTCAACACTGATTAAAAAGGTGATTTTGCCAGCTGCAGTGGCTCACAACCATAATCCCAGCACTTCAGGAGACTGAGGCAGGAAGATTGCTCACAACATAATGAATCCCTATTTTTACAAAAAAAAAATACAAAATTAGCCAGGCATGGTGGTATCCCCGCCCTGGGCTCAAGTGACCCTTTCACTTCAGCTTCTGAGTAGGAAGGTGAGGTGAAAGGGTCACTTGAGCCCAGGGGGTCGAGGATGCAGTGATCCATGATCGCAACACTGCACTACAGCCGGGGTGACAGACCAAGACCTTGTCTCAAATAATAATAATAATAATAATAATAACAGTTTACCTTTAGAAAGCATGACTTCTCTTTAAATAACATATACTGTGATATCCAAAAATTGAAGCCCTTCATGGACCCTAACACTACTCGTTGTCACAGTTATCATATCTTTTAACTGTAGTCAACGACAAGTTGTGCTGAATATACTAAAAGGAACTATAGAAACAGATTCTAAGAATTGTTGGGGGAAAAAAAGGTCATGTTAGTTGGTGGCCCCTACTACTTCTAAAAAAAGAAATATACATTTATTTACTAAAGAAATTTGTTAAAGCAGCATTTATAAAGAATTTTAATATGCGTAATACTAAAAATTAATTGAAACTAAAACTTTAGACAAGTGATATCCAATAGAACCTTTTCTATAGTAGGATTACCTACGTATCTGCGTTGTCCAGAACAGTAGCCACTAGTCATAGATGGTTACTGAGCACTTGAAATGGGGCAAATACCACTGAGAAAAATTCAAATGTTAATATTAATTGATTTAAATTTAAATAGCCATATGTGGCTAGTGGCTAACATTTAGACAGCAGAAATCTAAACAATGACTGCTGGAAATCTTCATATTGCCAGTCAGGGCCCATTTCAAAAAGTTAAAACCATTGTTATTTTTTTATTTATATTTTATTCAAACGTAAAAGAACAATCAAAAGCGAATTCTCCAAAAGTTTGACAGTATTCTCTTAATAAAAATGATTATAATCTGTAAACTTGTATTTTATATTTAGTTTATATATGTTTATATCAGTACCTTTAAAAGTAGCTTATAATTCTCATAGCAAGTATTTTCAAAGATTTGATTTGATTTCATGCTCCATCAAAATTCACATCTTTCATTCACTAAAACTGTCAACTTATTAAACTAATATTTAATTGTCAAAGTGACAGTTTTAAATTTTGAACTCCAACAAGAGTTAAATACAAAGTACCACTTGTTTTGTTAATGCAAAGATATTATTCCCAAGATAAAAATTAAATTAAGTATCTCAGAATTCCTAATTATTTAATAATAGGTTAGCAAAAATTTTAGCACCAAAAAAACTGATGTGTGAAAGCAAAATAAAAATGTAGATAATAATGTATTACTCAGAAAACTTTTATGTATCTATTGGTACACTTCATGTAAGTATAGCCAGCACTTTATTCCCTAGATTGTTAGATTACCATCAAACAAAAATACAACCAAATGAATATACTAAATTGCTCCTGTATTTGTCCTATAAGAAAACATCAAGGACTGGTAAGAGAAATACACACCTTACAGGATCTCAGAATTGAAATGTTAAGTATATTCTGAATTTATTAACATAACTAAACTGTGGAAACTCCAGAAATGTTAGATATTATTAGTAACTTGTAATAAATACAACAGCCTTCAAAACAGAGATGGCTACAAAAGTTATCAAATTATATTACAGAAAGGCCCTCCCTCCTTTCCTTTTTCCCTCCCTCCTCCCTCCTTACCTTCCTTTCTTCCCTCCCTCCCACCCTTCCACTCTCTCTCCCTCCTTTTTCTTTCTTTCCTTTTTTTTTTTTTTTGTGACAGAATCTCACTCTGTCACCCAGACTGGAGCGTAGTGGCACAATGCCAGCTCACTGCCTGAACCGCCCACGTTCAAGTGATTCTCTGCTTCAGCCTCCTGAGTAGCTGGGATTACAGGTGCCTGCCACCATTCCTAGCTAATTTTCATGATTTTAGTAAAGACAAGGTTACATCATGTTGGTCTTGAACTTCTGACCTAAAGTGATCAGCCCTCCTCAGCCTCCAAAAGAGCTGGGATTACAGGCCTGAGCTACCGCGTCTGGCCTTTTCTCAATTTTCTATACCTTTTTCATCTCTAGCACCATACAAATACAACCTATAATCAGAATGATGACCCAATGGGAATTTCAAAATCTTAGTTACTAAAGAAAAATGTATAATAGTGCTTAGACAAGAAAGTGTACTAATTTAGAGAATTTTATTTGTGTAAGTTAAAGAAAAAGATTTTATGAATCTTTAAATGCAATAAATCTAGTAACATTCTGTATTCCAAATAATTCATGATTTACTTTTTTCTCCTCCAAAAATTATCCTTTTCAGTCACCAAGAACTCAGAATCCCACACCAGATTTATCTAAGCTGTTGGCCATGTTTCCTCCTGTATTTAGAGGACAGGCTTGACAAGCGCCTATATAAAAGTTTAACGGGTGGTTCAAATATCATTCTTCTCAGTTAAGTAACACCTCAGTGCACCCCTACTTCTGCATTATGGGTGTCTCTCTGAAGAGCAGAGAACAACATTTAACTAAATTAGTAAATGTTATTCTTTTTGTAGTTGTAACACCTGCATAAAACTTTAATAACAAATCTATATCTGTTATTTCATGTACAGTAAAAATGCTCCATTCTAATGCTGGAATTCCTACCAGCAGTTAATGGCAAGAGGAGGCAATAAAAAAATTTTAATTAATAAATTATCAAGAATAATAAAGGAAAATAAACCTCTGTAAACTATTCCCAGAAGGGTTTATGTTTTCTTTCCGTCACAAAATAAACAATGACATATCCAAGGAATAAAAGGATATAATAATATTACTCAATTCTCTGTCAAATAATGTGTTTCAGAATATTCTTCAAACAATTGAAAAGGCAACACAAGTTCCAGTCAAATGAGTGCAGGAAAAAAACACAACATTAATCTTCAAAAGTTAAGCGATATTAACTATTTAAGCTACTCTAATAAATCAAGCACTTACCATTAGTATCCTACCAAACATGTCTTAGAATTTAAGGCAGTGTGAAGATGTTTAAAAACAACAATGACAAAAACCAATATAACATAAACTAAAAATAAGACAAAATGCATTTTAAATACTTTTAAAGAAATACAAACAAAATAGAGCCTAGATCACACCATCACTAGCCTCTATTCCCTGTAGAATTCTTCACTCACCTGTTAATATTCTTTACTAGCTTTTCACATCCCTAGCCCAACTTAAGAAGCCCCTAGGTTTTCCCCTCTCATTCTCCTGGGCAGCAGAGCGTAATTCAAGAAAAATCAAATAATCACATTTACTTATGCACTAAACATTACTGCTACACGGCCTCAGTAAGTAAGTTTGATTTTTCCACAGTAAGTTGTTATCAACCATCTGCTATCTTTTCAAGTGTCCATCTTCATCCCAGGTCTTTTCCTTCTCAATAGACTCCTTCTATTTCACTGAAATGTCTAAGCCTGTCCAAGGTGAATTTACTCAATTTCCCTACCCTCCACCAATAATTATTTCTGTATCTGTATCCATCTTTTCTTTACTGTCACATGTCTTAACCTGCCCAGCACAGCCCAATGACCTCTGGGATGGAGTGAACAGAAAACATCCCAATCTAGAACTAGTGTCTCCATGAAAACAGTACTGGTACTGGAAGAAAAGGCTGGATAGCAAGTGCTTAAAATAGTCATTCAAGTAGAAATGATATCTGAAAAGGCAACGGATTGTATATTAATTTACATACAGTTTGCTTAAAGGGTATTTAGTAGTAAGGGTATTACCACAGGCGTGCAGAACATAAAGATAGAAAAAATAAATTGGCCATTTAGAAATTATATACCAGAGGGACCTGTGGAAGTTTAAGTACAGTCATCAAATAAGGGTCCAGTAACAGGCCGCTAGTGATCAAAGGAAATTTGATCACCAGAAACCAAGAGAAATTAAAGGACCTTTTCCCAAATAAAAGGACTAGTAAGAACAAGGTAGAGTCTAAAGCAGAAGTCAGTCAGCAATATGCTAGTAAATGTCTAACACTTGACCCTCTGTGAGGAAAGCCCTACTATGTACTAATTATTTACTAATTTCTATAGTACAAATACTCCTAACCATGGCAATTTCAAATTACTAACATGGCATCACAGAATGTAGGATGGGAAAAGGGTGCGTAGTAGCAACTATTACAGGTTGAGCATCCCAATTCCAAAAATCCAAAATCTTAAGTGTTCCAAAATCCAAATATTTTTTGAACACTGACATTACAGTCAAAGAAAATGTTCACTGGAACATTTCAGATTTCAGATTTTCAGATTTGGGATGCTCGACCAGTAAATACAAGGCAAATATTCCAAAATAAAAACAAAAACAGAAAATCCAAATCACTTCTGGTCCCAAGCATTTTGAATAAGGGATACTCAACCTGCACATCATTTTTTTTCAACCATCCAGATACAACAGACTTCACTAACTTCGAAAGCATAGGTAACAGTAAAATGTAGCAAAACATTTGGAAGTGTTAAGTTTTGAATATTTATGATCTGTAATGTAACTTCAGTAATAAATGGAACATCTTAAAAAGCAAAGAGTAAAAACTCTCCTACATCTGAGGCACACTAAAGAAAAAATAGAATTCTCTGAATCTTACACACTCCAAAATTAATACACCCAGTTAACTGCTAACCAAAGCTAAGTTGATGTTAGAGGCCAAAGGAAATGTGATCACTAGAAACAAGGAGAAATTAAAGACATCACTATGCTCCAACATTAACTTCTACTTTTATTTAAAAACCACTAACACCAATGAAAAGGCTCTAAATTGCTTAGGCTCTTTTAGGAGGGCTCTCACTTAAACACCTCAGGCTATGTACATTATTTCTTTTATTTTGTTTTTAATAATTTCAACTTTTATTTTAGATTTAGGAGGTACACGTACAGGTTTCTTTCATGGGCATACTGCATGATACTGAGGTTTGAGATATGAATGGTCACCCAGGTAGTGAGAGTATAGTGCCCAACAGTTTTTCAACCCTTGTTCCCCTTCCTCTAGTAGGCACCATCTTTATATCCATGAGTATCCCTCCTTCCCTCCCCAGTCTAGTAGGCCCCAACTTTAATATCCATGAGTAACCAGTATTTAGCTTCCACCTATAAGTGAGACCATGCAGAATCTGGTTTTCTGTTCCTGGGTTAATTCACTGAGGATAATGGCCTTCAGCTCCCTCCTTGTGGCTAACAAAAACGTGCTTTCTTTTTTTTTTTTTTTGAGTGCATGGGATATGGACTTCCATCTGAAGTACATCCAGAAACTCTCACACACTGGAAATGAGAGCTCTGCAGGCAGATCAGTATCAGGAGGGTCCATAACCTCATTTAAGGAGAAAACTGCCTATCTCCATATAAGTTCATGGCAAAACATCCTGGTTCTGGAGACTACCAAACTAGCTTTCTACTTAAAATCCACCCAGGATGCTTATTAACATTGTTGGCATTTGGATATGCTATAGCAGTTTCTGAAGCATTTCAAAAGAACAGGCCAGTGTGAATATCTCAAAACAAATTGATAAAAGAAAGCTACAAAAAAGGAATCCTGTGAAAATTGTAAAAATATTTTAGCTTCCTGATCAAATGAACAGAGGTAGTCTTAAGCAATAAGACAATGAGGTTGAAATATATGCCTAATGTATTTGAGGAACACACACAACCTCTTGTAGAGATTACCATTTAAAAATTCAAGGTTCACTCTTTTCTGAAACTGGAAAGGTAACTTGTAGAAAAAGAATATTCATGTTCATTCCAAAGTTTTCCATTTCCTATATTCTCCTTCCTATAAGAAATCACTCTACTGAAATTTGAACATCTATCCCTTTCTTGGAGTAAAATTAAGAAAAGAATAAAACTCATTATAGATACCGTAACCTTTATCAAATTATCTGTAGTGATTTGATATGCCAAATTAAAAAAAATTCAGAAATGTGTGTCAAATGTTTTTAGATTTCAAAGAATGGTAGAATTTAAATAACTAGCACAAATACCAAGTAAAGCCTTTGGTACTAATCCGAAAATACTAAATTGCAAGTAAAACCATAAATATGATAGCAAATTTTAGACAAATTAATTCAATTCCAAAATAACAATAAAGCATTTGAGAAATTCTTAACAATAAAACAAGAGAATTATAAACAATGGACACAATTCATGCCTTAAAGAACAATCTATTGCTAAGACAATAGCCACAGTTAATAAAAAATTCATTTCTCAAAAAGCTATTATAGATTTAGTCAAATAATGCTATAATAAAATATTGATGACAGTGAATTTTAAAACATGCCAAATACTTAATTATGAACAAATATAATACTTCAGCTTTTACTGATGAAACTAAGAGTAAATCAATCCAAACATTTAAATCTCCTGATTTTACTCACCAATAACTGTTTTTGGTCTTTCTTGGCATCCTTGTAAGAGGAGGATCCAGACATCCAAGATGGTAATGTAGTTTACAGGTATCACACAATAAAAGAAGATGCTGATCATGGTTCTTCTTACAAATCCCACAACTTTTAATAAAGGGAGCAAATAAAGATTTCAAAAATATGCAGTTTACTTACAGCATATTTTTCAAATTATAAAATTTCGTCTTGATTTAACTTAATATTTCTTCTGTTGAGATAGACAAAAAACACACAGACGCATACACGCGCACGCACACACACACACACCCCAATTGACAGTTATTGCAAAGATTGCGGAGTTTTGTGATTGTTACTAGTATTTCAGGATTTTTTGGTTTGTTTCTCAGAAATCTAACTTCTCTTGTGCAAAAAGGTAATTCAACCATACCTACATACATAATAAGTACCATTACCTGAAAATCTAAAGCATATTTATATTGAGAATATACAGAAAGCAATGATGGTTAGGCTTTTTTTTTTAACTCCTAAAAAAAAAAGTTGTATACACACATACACTTAAAAAGCTTAAATAAATAAATAACTAAATAGTGCCTGGTCTCAGTAAAAAAGGAAAATCACTTAAAATATATTCTGAAATAAAAATGAATTATAGTCATAAAAGTCAGAAGCACAGTGGTAATGTATGATAGTTCCAAATGAACCAACAGTGCTTTTTGAAAAAGCTGGCCTGAGAATATGCTAATGTTCACATTGCACACTAAGACAATGTGGGGTTTTCCCACATTTCAAGGAAGTTATTTGCTATTACTTGTAGAGGGAGTCTCCAACAAAAAAACCACAAGAAGTTATGGAGACTGATATTGCTGTTATTGCTACTATTTCTGAGAAAAAGGTTTTGAGAAGAATATTTATGTATTTACACATCTATAACATATATGTCTTCATATACACAGATACATATATATACACACACATACATACACACACAAAAACACCAGCATCTTCTAAACTTCTCTCACTTAATCAATATAAATTATGCAGGAAAAAGTGAGATCGCAACCTATTTATTTACTGAAAGAAGTCCTTACAACAATAAAATTACTGTAATGGTGAACACTAAAAATACTGAGCAAAGAAATTAAAAGACAAAAATACTTAGGCAAACAAAGTGACTGCAACTCAGCAGCAAGAGAAAGAAGTGTAGAAACTCTAATCTAAAACTTATCTTTATTATCCACTATCCAAAGGCAAGAGATTCATTCTATGTAAGTATATGATAACCATCACTATCTAAAATAGAAACTCTACAATTTATTCAAGTAAAATAAAGTATAAACACTCATCTGTTATATTATTTTAATTATTTAAGACAATAATCGTAATATTATCTACAGTAATTTTCCAGCTCCCCAAAGAGAACTGCTCATTTCCACAGAGTTTAGGCAGACATATCTGCCTAAACTTAAAGAACACAAAAAGTCATTTATCTTATTATAACAGCAACAAAAAATCTCCTCTATCATTCAAACTGGAATATACCTTTGATAAAATCAACTTCAAATGCACTTAAATTCGAGTATAGACATAATTTATTCTCAAATATTTGCGGTATCTTCTTTCTAATAAGTATCAGTTAAAAAAATACACAGTATTATTCTATCATTATTAATTTTGTTACTTGCCTATAAAGTACTGCAGGAAGAGTAGATGTCTTTTGTGTGCCTCCTTCTTTTTTACTTGGTTTTCTCTCCTTGGGTGCTCGCAAAATTGCTGGTATATTCAACTTCTATTGATTTGAACAAATGTAGTATATATGGTTTTAAGGAAGAAATAAAAGCAACATTTTCCTCTAACTGCCACTCAAGCCAACAAAATATAGTAGAATTATTAGGGAAAAATCTGCTTTACCAGTTATTACATTGGCAAAAAGGATTAAAGGGAGCTTTTTTCTAATAGTTCTATTTCCATTACAAATCTATAATTACAGACTTTCATCAATTTTCTGTGGTAAACTAAAACATTATGAAAATTAAACTACTTCAGCTTTGAAAGACAAAGACACATATGTAGGAGGTTTGAAAAAAAATAACACAGTACACTTGACAAAAAGAATATTGAGTCCATTTATTTTCTTCAGCACCCCAGCTATATTGGTGCTCCATAGGTTAATTAGAAAAATTATCTTATTGAACCGAACTCTCCAACAAAGCAAGTGAGATTCTCTTTGCATTTCTACTAATCTGTAGTATGCTGGCTTCTCAGACAGCAACCATCTATCAAAGTCACTTCTCAATAGCCTGGTGGGCCCACATCTGTTCAACCAACTGAAAAAAGTATCATACAAACAATATAAATGAATTCTACTTCTGCGGTGTATTTTACATTTGCAAAAGGAATTTGCAAACCTCTGTTAAAGGTCTTTTAATAAATGAAAATGCCTTTTACAGTAGATAATATTTTACACTAAACAGGAGATTCTTTTGAGAGAAACTTGCAAATCAAGCCAAAAGATAACGCTAACTTGGCAAATAAACTAAAGCCTTATAGTCAACATTAACTCTCTAAATATTAAGTATAAAACACCATAATCTTCCAAAAATCCATCAACCAACCTATTAACAGGAACAAAGGCTGATCCTTCCAGAGGCAATTACTAATTCTCACCTCTTAAAATATTCTTTATGATATAAGCCACAGGCATTCTGATCACATAAAGCATCTTCAAAGCTAGTATGGCACAGTACAAATCAGTATGTATCACTTCATAAAATATCTTTACAAGTTCTGTGATGAATTGGACTCTCCATAAACATCTAAAACAAGTGTGATAAAAAAAAATCTGTTCTCTGAAAAGCACCTTCGCAAATAAAACTACTTATTTATGTGAAAGGACCACTAACAGTGGGTATCCAGCATCCTTAAAAAAAATAATAAAAATTATTTGTAAAAAATCTTAATTTATCAATTACATACACAGTACTAAAAAAGTCATTCAAAGAAATCCATTTAACAATAATATTCTTTTCAACACCAAAAACTTTAATAGACTAATGGTCTTCATGAATAAAGTTTTTTTTTCCTTTTTTTAATAACTACAATCATAGCAACTGTTGAAGGGGAAAAAAATGCATTTTAACATTAAAGCTTTAAAAACCATCTCTTAGCTGAAAACAAAATTAACATGAAAACAAATTTCTCTAGTTTGCCTTTTAAATTTCAAATTACACATCCAAAGAACAGAAAAAGTAAAACAGCATAAGAATAGGAAAGAAAAAAAAAATGTGGCAAGGAATCTAAAACTGCTAAATTAAAAGAAGAATGTAGTAGGAAAAACTCATGCTTTAAGTCTTAGCTTCATCACAAATGACAGGTCAATCAGTTAGAGCAAATGAAAAAAATGTGCACACAAGAGAGCTGTTTAAACAACCAAATTAAACTAGAGGTTCTCAGTAGGCAACTTTGAATGCTCTAGATGTGGTTCAAGCAGAAATCATTATCCCAAAGGATTAGGCCCTGATCAAACAGAATTCTTCAATTAGTAAAGCAACAGTGTTATCAAAAATCTATTCTTCAAAAATCATATAGAGAGCAAGAACTGACGGAGATAACAATTGGAAAGAAACTAACCTGCCCTGTGATTCTGCCTAGTAAGGCCCATATTCCTTGTCCTTCACTTCGAAGTTTTCCATTCAGGTTTTGTAGTTCTTCTAAAGATTCGCATAACTACAAAGTAAGTCAAATTAGTAAACTTCATTAAAATATCTGACAATTTAAGTAATTTATCAATAAGTATCCAAGAATATCTACATTTCTATTTTCTCTATATATACATACATATACGCAAACACACACACACACACACACACACACACACACACACACACACACACACACAGAGTCTTGTTTTGTTTGAGATGGAGTCTCACTCTGTCTCCAGGCTACAGTGTAGTGGCATGATCTCGGTTCACTACCACCCCTGCCTCCTGGGTTCAAGCTATTCTCCTGCCTCAGCCTCCCAAGTAGCTGGGACTACAGGCACTTGCCACCACGTCTAGCTAATTCTTGGATTTTTAGTAGAGATGGGGTTTGACCATGTTGACCAGGGTGGTTTCCATCTCTTGATCTCGTGATCCACCCGCCTCGGCCTCCCAAAGTACTGGGATTACAGGTGTGAGCCACTACGCCCAGCCTCCATATATTTTTAATATATTCAAGCCACAATACCACTGAGAGACAAGGCTATCCAATTACTCAGCAGTATTTGCTGCTGTAAGCATTTTGTTTTCTGCTGTTAACAGTGATTACGTTTATACCTTCTGTTAGAGTTTGCTACATAACATCATAAACATTCTGCTAATTAATCCTTATGACTCCATCAAGATATATTTCTACTATTTTTCCAATGAAAAAAACTAAGGATCATAGAGTCTTTGTGAGTTGGCCAAGATCACAGAACTAGCAAGAATCCCCAGGTCTTTTGAATTTAATTCCAAGTACTCTTTTTACTACACAATGTAGCTTATTATTGGAAACTTACTTCCTAGTAATATTTTATGACTTAAAATGTTTTCTAACAATAAGTCAGTACCTGTTTTATGTGCTCAAGTTATACTTGGCATATTTTTACCACATTGTGCTTTTGTAAGATATTTCTTTTTGATTTTTCTTATCTTTAGGATGAAGAGGTACATGAAAATTCAAATTTGGAAATTTTTAAATCAAATATTAAAATATAATTCAAAATAAATAATAAAATTTTCTAAACTTTCTACAAACTCAGAAAGTGAAGCTCTATAGTAATGTTTATTGGTTAGAAATAAAGAATAGAGTCAGATGAGTTGGCCTCACACCCCCATTCTGTGACTTGATTACTTGTGTGAACCTGGGCAAATTATTTAACCTCTTCAGGATTCAGTTTCCATTGGAAATGGAAGCAATGTTTATAACCTACATATTAAGATGGCAATTAAATGAGGTAATGCATGTAAAGAGATCATAATTATGCCTGGCACATAAAGTACTCAGTAAGAGACAGTGATGATAATGAAGCTAATGAGGAGTAGGAGCTATAGGGAAGAGCCTAAAAGCTCTAGAAGAATTTAAAAATAACACATAAAAAATGCCATACAATCACAAAAAAATCATCAGTAAGATCTATTTTATGTTGCATATTTTGTAGCCAACTTACCTTATTATATTCCACATGAAGCTTTTCTTGCTCATTCTCTAATTTATCTTTTATATTTTTTTGTTCAGCCATATTTTCCTGAATTTGAATCATGCGCATATTTCTCTCTATTTAAATGAAATATCCAAATTTACTTTAGTAGAAGTAAGAGCTGACATAGGAAGAAACTAGCCATAGAGATGCCCACATTGATAAACCTACATAGTTTAAAACTTTAAAGTATATTCACAAAGAAATGAACCTAGCATTTTGTAAAAATTCACAACATATTAGGAAAATAAACATTCCTCTATGATATATGTAACATGGCTAATACATTTCTAAATATTAACAGTATTACCAATATTTTCATTCACAAATTGTTCTCAGTAAAAGTGTGCATGTATCAATGTCTATACTGACCAAAATAATAATTCACAAAATCTGCAGTGAGAGCTGGTTGCTTATGTTTTCTCCTTCCATCCACACTAGAACTAGTATCTGAATTGTCCACTGGAAAGATATCTGTACTGATCCCCATCAGTTCTGCTTTCCGCATAAGTTTACGAATAGCTGAAGCACTGCTGGTGAGTGGTCTGGGCAATTTTTCCCTTGGAACCCAGGCCTGGGGTCTGGTGGATCGAGCTAGCTCCGCTTTGGCACGATATTGCTGAAGTCGGGCATTGATCCTTGCCTATAAAAGAAATGTATTCAAATTTTAAAAGATAATAAAATAGAACATATTCCTTATGATTTTTACATTGATTTTTATTCCCATGTTTACAGAAAGATAATCGAAACTTCTTATATCAAGGCAAATTATATGTGTGAATGATCCTTAAGGTATACTGTGTAATTCTTGAGTTACAATAAACTAGATCTACCCCATCAACAATTGTCCTAACTTATAATCAGTATTTTGAGAATCTAATTTCATTAAGCTGAAGTTTCTCTTCTTAATAGCTGCTATTGTTTCCATAGATTAAACATATATAAAATTATATTTTAAATATAGGCAAACCGACCAAATCTTTTGAATAGACTGAAACAAGATGTAGCAACTATATTGTACTGATAGAGTAATTTCCTCACAGCCACATTTTTCAATGTGAAATTATACTTTATAAGGACTGCTCTGTTGACTAAATGAGGAATACCGTACTCAGCCAAAAATTATACTCACTATTATTAACCTTAATCACAATCCACCTCCTAGGCAACTAACGGAACTTCTTATTATACTTCAGATGTCACTAGAAAACACACATGAGATGTAAAATCCATATATAACCTTAAAAGAAAAACATGTGGGTTTTGACATGAATCCTATACCTGCGCTTCTGGTGATAGTTGCTTCTCTCTCTCTTGCAAAGACACTTTACAATAGGATTGTAGAGCCAAGTAGTTTTTTCTCTTCCACTTTCTGTCTAATCTATCTGCATGTTGCTTACAATAAGCAAAGAACGGATCTGCTATGTCCTATACAAAAAAAAGCAGGGAAAAATAGTTAACATTTGTACTCTAAAGAGTCATAAAAAACCTAATACAAAAGAATATTACTTTCTTTTCAAAGAATCTACTAGTGCTAGTTATGTCTAATAAATTACAAAAATAATTTTTATACATAATGATAAAAATTACTGCTTTAGAAACTTGATCTTGTATATCAACTTCAAATTACCAACAGCTTTTTTTTTAAGGGCTTGTGGGCTTAAAGATACTGAAATCAAATATATTGTATTATTTGGGTGTACTTACATAGCAGCCCTTCAATATCCATAGCAGATGGGTTCCAGGACCCCCCAAGGATACCAAAATCTGTGTATGCTCAAGTGTCTCATGTTAAATGGTATGCTATTTGCATCTAGTCTACATACATTCTCCCAAATATCTTAAGTAATCTCTACATTACTTATAATACGAAACATGTAAATGTTGTACAAATAGTTGTTATACTGTATTAGTTTTTTATTTATTTTTTTTAATCATGCTTTTTTTTCCCAAATATTTTCAATCTGCAGTTGGCTGAATCTAAGAATGTGGAATCCATGAACCATGAAGGGCTGGCTATATTTTTCAAAAGATCACTGTTTAAAACAAAAAGGATTTTAATTATCTTAGAAATAATCATTAAATATTAAAGTTATGCAAAACAATGTTGGACTAGCCAACAAGGTAAGTGTGGCATTTCCAACTGGCTAACAATGGACAGATTTTACAGAGGATAAAAACAGAATTAAGGGCCAGAAGTGGTGGCTCATGCCTGTAATCCCAAAACTTTGGGAGACCAAGGCAAGCAGATCATTTGAGGTTGGGAGTTCAAAAGTAGCCTGGCCAACATGGCAAAACCCAGTCTCTACTAAAAGTACAAAATTAGCCAGGCACAGTGGCATGCACCTGTAATTCCAGCTACACGGGAGACTGAGGGAAGAGAATCACTTTAACACAAAAGGCAGATGTTGTATTATTTGGGTGTACTTATATAGCAGCCCTGAGGTCGTACCATTGCACTCCAGCCTTGGTGACAGAGTGAGACTCTGTCAAAAAAAAAAAAAAAAAAAACAGAATTAAGAAGTCCAAGCCCTGTCGATTAAAAAGTTTACATTATATCCGTTAACTCTTTCCCTAAAAACTCAAACGGAAACACAGTTCTATCATAGCCTAATAGTAGTACATTTTTCATTCATAAAAAGTAGTGTACAGAAAGAGGATTTATTCTATCAAAAACAACTTGTAAAGATGTAGTCCAAAAAAGTAATTTTCAATGTAATTGCTAAAAAACAACAAGTTGTTCATTCTTCATGTCTATCCCAAGGTGGAACAGTAAACATAAGCTATTAGTTTTTCTCTAAGTTATGTTAAAAGTGTCTCTCAACCAAATAGATGTAATAAAAAATGATAAAGGGGAAATCACCACAGATTCCACAGAAATTCAAACCATCTTCAGAGAATATTACAAACAACTCTATGCACATAAACTAGTAAATCTGGAAGAAATGGATAAATTCCTGGACTCCTGTGTCCTCCTCCAAGCCTAAACCAGGAGGAAGCTGAAACTATGAATAGACCAATAACAAGGGCAGAAGTCGAGGCAGCAATTAAGAGCCTACCACACAAAAAAAGCCCAGGTCCAGACGGGTTCACAGCCAAATTCTACAAGACACACAAAGAGGAGCTGGTACCATTCCTTCTAAAACTATTCCAAATAATCCAAAACGAAGGAATCCTTCCCAGATCATTTTACGAGACCAACATCATCCTGATACCAAAACCCGGCAGAGACCCAACAAGAAAAGAAAACTTCAGGCCAATATCCATGATGAACATAGATGCAAAAATCTTCAATAAAATATTGGCAAGCCGATTGCAACAGCAAATCAAAAAACTTATTCATCATGATCAAGTAGGATTCATCCCGGGGATGCAAGGCTGGTTCAACATACGCAAGTCTATAAACGTAATTCACCACATAAACAGAACCAAAAACAAAAACCACATGATTATCTCAATTGACGCAGAGAAGGCATTTGACAAAATTCAACAGCCCTTTATGCTAAAACCCCTCAATAAACTCGGTATTGATGGAACGTATCTCAAAGTAATAAAAGCTATTTATGACAAACCAACAGCCAATATCATACTGAATGGGCAAAAACTGGAAGCATTCCCTTTGAAATCCGGCACTAGACAAGGATGCCCTCTTTCACCACTCCTATTCAATATATTTCTGGGAGTTCTAGCCAGAGCAATCAGGCAAGAAAAAGAAATAAAGGGTATTCAAATAGGAAAGGTGGAAGCCAAATTGTCTCTATTTGCAGACCACATGATAGTATACCTAGAAGACCCCATCGCCTCAGCCCAAAAACTCCTGAAACTGATAAGCAACTTCAGCAAAGTCTCAGGATATAAAATCAATGTGCAAAAATCACAAGCATTCGTCTACACCAATAACAGACTTAAAGAAAGCCAAATCAAGAACGAACTGCCATTCACAATTGCTACAAAAAGAATAAAATACCTTGGAATACAAATCACAAGGAACGTAAGGGACCTCTTCAAGGAGAACTACAAACCACTGCTCAACGAAATCAGAGAGGACACAAACAGATGGAGAAACATTCCATGTTCATGGTTAGGAAGAATTAATATCGTGAAAATGGCTATACTGCCCAAAGTAATTTACAGAATCAACGCTATCCCCATCAAGCTACCATTGACTTTCTTCACAGAACTGGAAAAAACCACCATGAACTTCATATGGAACCAAAAGAGAGCCCGCATAGCCAAGTCAATTCTAAGCAAAAAGAACACAGCGGGGGGCATCACACTACCGGATTTCAAACTATACTACAAGGCTACAGTAATCAAAACAGCAGAGTACTGGTACCAAAACAGAGATATAGACCAATGGAACAGAACAGAGGCACCGGAGGCAACACAACATATCTACAACCATACAGTCTTTGATAAACCTGACAAAAACAAGCAATGGGGAAAGGATTCCCTGTTTAACAAATGGTGTTGGGAAAACTGGCTAGCCATGTGCAGAAAGCAAAAACTGGACCCCTTCCTGACACCTTACACTAAAATTAACTCCAGATGGATTAAAGACTTAAACATAAGACCTGGCACCATAAAAACCCTAGAAGGAAATCTAGGCAAAATTATCCAGGACATAGGAGTAGGCAAGGACTTCATGAACAAAACACCAAAAGCATTGGCAACAAAAGCCAAAATAGACAAATGGGACCTAATGAAACTCCACAGCTTCTGCATGGCAAAAGAAACAGTCACTAGAGTGAATCAGCAACCAACAGAATGGAAAAAAATTTTTGCAGTTTACCCATCTGACAAAGGGCTGATATCCAGAATTTACAAAGAACTCAAACAGATTTACAAGAAAAAAACAAGCCCATTCAAAAGTGGGCAAAGGATATGAACAGACACTTTACAAAAGAAGACATATATGAGGCCAACAATCACATGAAAAAATGCTCATCATCACTGGTCATTAGAGAGATGCAAATCAAAACCACATTGAGATACCATCTCACGCCAGTTAGAATGGCGATCATTAAAAAATCTGGAGACAACAGATGCTGGAGAGGATGTGGAGAAAAAGGAACACTTTTACACTGTTGGTGGGAGTGTAAATTAGTTCAACCATTGTGGAAGACAGTGTGGCGATTCCTCAAGGCCTTAGAAATAGAAATTCCTCTTGACCCAGCAATCCCATTACTGGGTATATATCCAAAGGACTATAAATCGTTCTACTATAAGGACACATGTACACGAATGTTCATTGCAGCACTGTTTACAATTGCAAAGACCTGGAATCAACCCAAATGCCCATTGATGATAGACTGGATTGGGAAAATGTGGCACATATACACCATGGAATATTATGCAGCAATCAGAAATGATGAGTTTGTGTCATTTGTAGGGACATGGATGAATCTGGAGAACATCATTCTCAGCAAACTGACACAAGAACAGAAAATGAACCACCACATATTCTCACTCATAGGCGGGTGATGAAAAATGAGAACACATGGACACAGGGAGGGGAGTACTAAACACTGGGGTCTATTGGGGGGAAAAGGGGAGGGCCAGTGGGAGGGGGAGGTGAGGAGGGATAGCCTGGGTAGAAATGCCAAATGTGGGTGAAGGGGAGAAAGGAAGCAAAACACACTGCCATGTGTGTACCTACACAACTGTCTTGCATGTTCTGCTCATGTACCCCAAAACCTAAAATGCAATAAAAAATTTAAAAATAAATAAATAAATAAATAAATAAAAGTGTCTCTTAGTAAAGCAGAGTTTTACAACATGAAGAGAAATGACACACTACCAAGGAGAGACATCTAAGAATAGAAAGAAAAAGAAATCTAATGTGTCCTTAGTATTAAAAAAAAAAAGCATATGAGGCAATTCTGTAGTGTGGTATCTATAGATGTCACAGTATAGCACTGTGTATCACAGAATTTGGAGACATAAAAACCTGGATACAAATCTTGGCTCTCCCATTTACTGGCTATGCGACTTCAGAAAACTGCTTAACATCTCTGAGCCTTAGATACCTCATCAGTAAAACAGCGTTTACTTATAATTACTTCATATAGCTTTCAAAATAAAATACAAAAAAATTTAGGCGACTACATTAACACATACAAACATCTGCTTTCTCATGACATGCTCTAAATCTTAGTGACAGAAATGTTTAATGGAAATAAAGAATATACTGAACCTCAGCCCAAATGCCCAGATCTAGATAATTATTCCAGTTTCAAAGTAAATGAGGTTGAAATTGAGTTATTAGAGATAGGTCCATGCTTAAGTAGATGAGTTAAGCATTTAGACCAAGATTCTGGTTTAAGAAAAACATCAATACTCACCATGGCAGAAACTACTAACTGTCTTACAGTATCTTTTCTTCCCATTAGTACCAGAACCCTATGAGTTTTTACCAGGCACATGGC